TTTTTTTTTTTTTACAAAATTGTTATGGATTATGCTGAATTCATGAACTCTGATGAGAATGTTAATCAATTCTTTGGTAATTCCAATACTCTTGTATACAATTTTTCTTAACACATATGATGTTCTAAATTTGGAAAATATCGAGTGCTATCGAAATGAAAACAATTAAGAGCTTGTTTGGGAGGAATCTTTTGGGAGAAGAATTAATTTTTAAATAGTGATATGATGGGAAATGTGTGGTTGAAAAAGAAGGAAAAATTATTGATGTGATGGAAAATATTATTTTATTGAAAAATGTGTGGTTGAAAATGAGAATTGATTTACTGTAAAATTTGAGAATATCTCCCAAACACCCCCTAAGTACGATGACAATTTGGAAGAAGGAAACTCTACTAATAGTCGAAAGAAGGCAAAAGCTCGTGAGTCTACTTCTGAAGTTGGAAAACATTCCTTGAAAAAGAATAAAATTGAAATTTAGGAGTAGATTACGAATGCATATTCTAATTATTGTGGAGATGATTTCACTTGGAAACCATAAATTGGCACTACCCAGTACAATATACATTACTAAAAATACACTGTTCATATTGAAACTGTCAATAGTAGACACGCTTAACTTCAATTTGGTTTGGCAAAGGAGGGCCTCCTCCAACAATTCTTGCAACCTAGGTTTTCTATTCAGAAACAACAAGAGAAGGTATGGTAATGTTCGAAGCCAGTGCCAAGTTGTTACCATCTACAATAGAAAGCATGTAAATAGGCATTTTGAGGAACTTGCATTTTTCTCATATTTAAAACAAAATGGTAAATGGAGGGTCAAACATTATTTTCACAGCACTTATAAAGTATTTTAAAATAACGTGCAACTCAAGTTCAACTTTGACTAGTTTTTATAAATATAGGCATTGATATTTTTTTTATTATGATTTAAATTTTAATGACTCATTAATTACTTTTGAGATAATGAATTTTTGAAGTTTTTTAAGCTATACAATACTTGCGTGTGGGTCTACTATCTCATAGCTCCTATTGTTGTAACTCAATTTTTTAGTAGTGCAAATTTTTTTTGTAAGAACAGATATTTTTCCCTTTTTATGTTATTATTACTATCATGGAGATAAACTACAAAAATATTGGAAGGACTTGTCCATGCTATTTCCTCTAGTTGTGGCTATGGACTCTTGTAATAAATTATAATGTATTATCAAATTTTTTTTTTTTGAAATGTCATATAGAAAGTATTATGTGCATATATTCTCAATTTGCTGGCGAACATGGTAAAAATAATGATCCATTGCTACCACCTTCTACAGTTTCGTCATAATCCGATGACGACGTATGGAATTATTTAAGTATATAAATACTACATGAAAATTCATCATCGTCTCATTTTTCTTTTAGTACTAGCACGTGACAATGAAATCCATACTGAATTAGCAAGATATTTTTCATACAATATTTTTAGTACGTTAAATCAAGAATAGATAAATAATTTTGATATACTCGGATGATGACGAACAAATGAAAAATAGTATTCAATATTATCATTGATGACACGTGATCTACTAATACCGATCGGCCCAATTAACATTTCTAGGATCGTCACGTGTAGTTACATATTGAACTTCCATTTGTACATGTTTTGAATTCTTTCTTTGTTTTCTCTTTGATGGAACCTATTAGCTTTGTATCCGTGACATCCGATCATAGAGGGGAAAAAAAAAAAAAAATCGAAAAGCCAAAGCACAATTACCGTTGGGATTGGGAATTTCTTGAGTGGGAGTAATAAGTTTCTTTTGTTTTGTAATTTGCATTTTCCCTCACTCTGGCATAAGGAAACACTGCATTTCTTATTCTCTTCGATTTCCTCCAATAATTTTAAAAAAAGTCAGAGTAGATTCTGATAAAAGTTGATGAAATAATTGATTGAAAGTTGATAAAAGTTGTAAGTCTCTTGAAAATGAGTTTAGAAAAATATGAGTTTTTAAATTTGGGGCTAAATGATAAGGGTTAAATGGAGAGCACACGCTTATTTAGCGGAATAAATGGATGGCGGGTAACGAAATTGACCTTTCGCTCGAGAATAGGCTAAAATGAGGATTGAAATGTAAATTTTGACTCGATAAAAATGATTATCCCATAAGAACAATGATAAGAATGTTTTGGGCCAATTACCTTTGTTTTGATTTGTTGAGATGTAAATCTTTGTTGCGAGTCTAGATAACTAATACATGTTAATGACATTAAAATAATTAAAAGTAGGTTTATGATTTGAAATTTTATCCAATTGATTTTGTATTTGGATAATTACACCACTAGTCCTTGACTGATTTTACGGTTTCAAGTTAGTGCCAACTTTTAAAATGGATCAAGTTCATCCTCAATTTTTCATCATACTTGCACGATCAATCTTCAACAACGAAATTCATCAATGTCCATATATTTTGTTAAATAGTCATGATGTGGGTCACACTGATATATTCTGACAATCAACAAATCCATATCTAGAATACACAATACCGTTCATCATTTAGGTTCAAACATACAAAAGAACATGCTAATATTTGAAAATAACACAACAATAAACCAATTTTTCAACTCATTTTTCTTCACCAGAATCCTCACTCTTCCTGAACAGCTTATGCATGATATGCTGAGCAAAGGTACGGGGCGGGAAGCGTGGCGGCTCAGCCTCAGAAACCGTCTCCGGCAGCGGCTTCAGCACAATCTTCTCTTTGGGTGGCTCACAGAAAACTGCCCAAGAAATCCTCACCTTCTCTTTATTCACAAGCCCTCTATGCAGAATACTTTTATACTTCCCATTGGACAAAATCTCAGTAGTATCTCCAATGTGCATGATAATGGAGTTTGGAACACATTTTGCAGTGACCCATTTTCCCTCATAGAAGAGTTGCAGGCCAGGCACCATGTTGTGAAGTATGAAAGTGAGTGCACTGACGTCAGTGTGGGCTTCGACCCCGAGGGCGAGTTCCGGCTGAGGGCATTTTGGGTAATAGTTTATCTTTAGTTGAAGAAGAAGGTCTTCCGTGCCACCAACTTCTTTTTCCAGTCTGTCTTGTTCTAGCCCTAGTCCAAGAGAGAGTGCCGACAGTATTTTGCTTGTTAGGCCTCTCAGTTGTTTTGCATACTCACTTGTTGCTGAGCTGGAAAATGATATGTTATGTATGATTGGTTAGTAAGAAAAAAATATATTGCAATTCCTCATTTATGTCTCGGTTGAACGAACCCGAAACCACTTTTTACTGTTATATTCATTTTGAGTATGATGATCATCGGTTTGTGGCAACGAGACTACTCTTACATCATTCATTGAAATTGAAAGATATTTCTAATTATTGGACAATGTAACAGTGGCTTCACTGTCACTAGATGATCTTCAATTTATGCAATAGTGGTATAAATCGATAATCATCTAAATTCTAAATGAGTAACATTCTTCTTATTTTATATTCAATTTAGAAAAGGTTTTGTACAAATTTTTTGGTGGAAGGTGTAAACTTAAATTCTAATTTTTCTTACTTTGAAGATTGTTCAAGTCTCTCAATTTTTCTAAAAAAAAAAGGTAAATAAAAATTAGAAAAAGGTCCAAACATTTTCTAGAGTTTTAAAGTGTTTTGGTTTTCCAGAAATACTAGGGGCTTGTTATCTTCACCATTTTCAAGCCCTTTTTCATTTTCGATTTTCCAAAATAATGAAAATGCGTTCTCTTTCCTATTTTTGAAAACGCTTTTTTCAAAACAAATTAAAAATTTACAAAGAAAACTCAAAATGACAAATTCAATTTGTGTATTTTCAGTTATAATCAAGTCAAAATTTTCAAAACGCGTTTTAGGTGTTTTCAAAACAATTTTTCAAAATGCCAAAAAGAATACATTTTCAACAATCTCAAAATTGATACTCAAAACACTAAACCTAAAATAAATTCAAAATTCAAAACACAAAACTAAAACATAAAGATAACAGCCCTGATTGGTTTGCTAAAAAAAGGTACAGGAAATTAGAGATCGACAACCAAAAGAAAGTCTTTAATCTCTAGAGATAATTGATCCACAAAAGCAAGTCTTTTTAAGTTTTTTACTTTGAATATCCACAACCATAGGCATTTTCTAGAGCTAAGTGATCGTGTACAAGAAATTAGAGATACTAGATTTTTCAAAGAGCAAGTCATAGTTACTTCATAAAAAAAAACGAAAAAAAAGCACAATCAAGCATACTCTTGAACGGAATATCAAACATACATGTAACCAGTTGGAGTCTTGGGCCAAATGGACATGTCTCTCTTCTCCTCTGGGAAAACACAATGGAAGAAATAGTCCTGCCACTCAAGTTGACCACTAGCATTATTAGCTAACTTGCTACCATACCCCTGAACATTGCCGGATGCCTGATCATTAGCATATTTCTCTTTCTCCACCACCGGCAGGTCGAAAAATGCTTTTCCGGCCATCTTGACACGATCAATTAGCTCGTCTGGTATCCCATGGTTGACGAGGTGCATAACACCCCACTCCTTAGCAGCCTTAATTAATTCTTGGTGACACTTTTCACGAACCTGTTTATCACAAGAATTGAGTCCCTGCAAATCTATTGTCGGCAACTGAGGGCCCTCGTCGCACTTTTCTTCCTCGAAAACATCTCCGATGCTTTCTAGCTCTTCTTGTGGCCTCACATACTCTTTTGGGATTGATCCAATTCCATTGCTGGCAAGGATTTCAACTCTCGGAATCACCACCTTAGCCATTTTGTTTCAAACTTATTGAGGATTTTTATTTATGGTGTCTTCTCTTTTCCTAATCTTGGGATAAACTTATATAGGGCAATATTTGGGTAATATAGTATCGAAAGAACGTTCTATCAAACTGTCAAATAAGGTAGATGGGTTGAATGGAGGGTATACGCATGAACAAGGACAAAATTTGTGGGATATTTACGACTAGATTTGCATCACCAACCATGCACGTGGTAGCTAACCCAGTTCAGACCATCCTCTTTCTACACGATTCTTTAACTAGTGGTTTATGTTTTGTCCTTTCTCTTTAGGTCGTGATCTATTAACTCAGGTTGGATACGACCATCCTCTTTCGACAAACACACACATGTCTATATCGGACTAGTCACAATTTTACTGTAGTTGATCAAACTGAAACAAAACTAATATCTAATCTCTTCTTCTATTGAATTTTCTTTCAAGAAAGTCCATGTGTTCATTTGGTATTCAAAATTGGATTTGGATAATAGTTTAGACAATAATTTAAATGTTGTCCAACATGGAAGAATATTACTTGTCCTATTTTAGTTCAATGCATTAATTGTGCCCTCTGAAGTATTCACAATTAAATGGCGATGCATGCTTAGCTAACAAATGAATCAACCCCCAAAGATAGGTTGAGTGCGAGACATTTTATCAAACTCTATTCAGAGAATGCCATCCTTTTTGACATTAATTATCCTAACCTCCACCCTCCAAAATCCTTCACCTAACCTTTTAAAATCTAAGCCTATCGACTATTTTAAAAACTGGCCTGAGTATTATCTTGAAGAATCAAACGCTCAAAATGAGATTCAATCCCTGGTTTAAAAAAAAACTTCTTTTAAAAAATGAAGTGGTAAAATTGGTTTGAGTTTTCGAGTGAATGGATCGGTTCATACACTTTTTACAGTGTTTATTTTTATTTTTTGATTTTCACGTGTAATGGAAGATCGATTCTCGATTTTTCTATGACCAGCTAATTTGGTTCGATTCTTTTACCATTTTAACCCACCCTCCTTTCGAAAGTCATTAATTTGGTTTTTAATTTCTAGGCAAGCATTTATGCAAGAAATATAAATATGCATAGAATATATAAATTTGGTTTCAAAAGTCATTGCCTTCTGTTTTTCGAAAATAAAAAACAAAATCATATCTAAATCCGCATAAGAAATATAAATATGCATAGAATATATAAATTTTGCTTAGTCAATATGTCCAACTGAGCTTTGAATCTAAACAAAGTTGTAGACAATATTTGTTTCTTACTTTATCGCACCAGCTCGATAGAATTCCTTTCAATTTGCATTAGAATGAATTTTTTAAAACAATGCATTTTGTGTTACGCCTCCCCAGCAGTCGAGGCTCGGATTGGAGCTCAAAATGAAGCCCATGCGGAAGTTCTCCCTGAAGCTCAAAAGAGAATGCAAGACACCTCTTCAGATGTCCAAGCATCATATGAATGATTATTACGCCTCTCGCCGAGGCCGAAGTAGTGCTCCTACCGAAGCGATGTACCTCATGTTGCATTCGAACCACATAGGCTATCCATGCAGTGTGGGCGAAGTGCCTAATGAGGCCAAAGCTAACGTGAAGCCTCCTATTTTGAGGTGCATCTTCATCATTCTCCCCAAGAGATTTTCCACATCCAAGATCCTATGGAAGTGATTGATACAACTTCCTGCAGTACCAAAAATGTCAAGTCATGTCAGTCTACTACCTAGATATGCAGACCTAGGCTCTAGAGTGACTACATTTTTCAAAATGCATTAAATGCTTCCAGTTCCATGATGTATGACGTGACGCTTACGATGGGATGCTTTGGACGTTAGGATGAAACCACGCGTTTCTTCATACAATGATCACCACCAACTCATGGGTAATGCGGTTTTCACTCTCAAATGGTAAGAATTGCTCTCTATAATCATATATCTATTCACAATGTCTGTACACTTTTGTGTCATGCTCCTTAAAGTTTGTCCCACATTTAATATACTTCTTTTCATCGACTGGATTCACCATTTGATTGCTTGCTCTTGCCTCCCCCTCCACTAGAGACGGCCAAGGGTGATTAACGATTTGTTCAAGCGTGTAGAAAAATGAACTTACGTAGACGCAAACGGACTTGGGATAAGTGACGTAGACGCAAATGGACTTGGGATAAGTGGCAGAGCCATGCTATTTTATTTGGGTGGACAAAAATTATACGTCAAAAATAATTATAAATAATATAATTGTTCTCCTAATCTAAAAGTCCACCTGTTAACCAAATTTAGATTGTACTTGCAAGGAGATGGTGGTGTTAGAGAAAGAAACAATTCTTTTCACATGGGAAATTAACTACGTGGCTACTGAAATATTAGGTTGCCTAAGTGTTTTGGGTTAAATGCTAGCAAACTGTTTAAAAATCCTTTTCAGTTGGAGAAGAAGAGGAAAGAAAAATAGTATTCCATTTAGCGAATAGGAGCTCCATAAAAAATGACGATGAATTCAAGGAAATGTATAAAATATTGCCAAATAATCTACTAGTTTGTTTGAAAATAATTCATTGACATACACACAACAAGAGAGTGGAGATTGTGCTTTCTACCTGGAAATGGTGAAATAATATATATAGAAAACACCAAATTATATTTTTACATTGACAATGCTGTGCTAATTGATGGAGAATGTGTGATTGAAAAATAAGAAAAAATTATTGATGTTATGAAAAATATTATTTTATTGAAAAATGTGTGGTTGAAAATGAGTAGAAAAATGATAATGAAAATTTTAATATGGCTCAAACATGGACTAAGCTAGAAGCAAAACAAATCTTCTTTATTTAGTCAATTTGTCATAATGCAAGATTGTCCTTCCAATACCAAGAATCTCTCCACTTGATTTTCAAAAGGATTATCTTCCTTTTCTACAATATTTCTATCTAAAACACTTATTCGTATTTAACAATAATTGAAGCGAGTTCTTATCTTTTGTACAAGATAAAAGAAATAATAAGTGAGAAAAAAGTTCTCACACGGACATAAATTTCACGTTCATCTTAAGTGAATAAGGTTGGAGATTTTGTTTCGAAACCATTTGAATTAAAATGAAACTTAACCCAACAACTTCAGTTAAAATTTAATTGCTTCTGGATTTTAATATTAGGAACCAGGGGATTTTGATTTGGTTCCAAGTTCTAACCAAATAATTGGAATTTATTTATGTCAAAGGATTGGCCGCACCTAAAACCGGGCCGTGTACATCAGAAACTTGGGGTTCTTACACAAATACCCTATATTTTGGGGTAGTTTTAAAAAAAAAAATGATAAACTTGGAGTAAATGATAAATACTTAAAATTCATAGGAAACTATACACTCAAACCTACGAACATTCATTCTTCCACAAATATCAGCCTTCAATCTTGAAAAATCAAAACGAAAATTGAAAGGAAAAATAGGAAATCTTCCACAAATCAAGCAAAAACGAGATTGAGGTTGCTTCAACATTTATTCTTCAAAGTTATATTCCACAAATCTGAAAATACACAAACAAAATTACAGGTTTTTAAAATTTTTTTGGACTCTTTGTTTAATTACTTCTCCAATTCTTTTATTTTAAGATCTTTTAATGTTATCTTTGTATAGATTATGAAAACAACAATCGTGATTATCAATTTTCAGCTGAATAATCTCTTACAAATTCTAATCATCTTAGTGCATTGTTTATCTCACTTTTATTTGAATGTCGTGATTAGATTTAGTTTAAATCTTATAATGTAAATAATTGATATTTATAAGTTTCTTTTTGATGATTTTACTATTGTGATTGTGAACATGTTTGAAAATTATTTTGTTGAACTTGAGAAAAAATAGATTGTGTTATTACATATGAAAAATTAGTTTTGAATCAATTAAAATGATGTATACAAGGTGTTTGACAAAAGTAGGATGTGAAAAAAAAAAAGAAAGACAGTCAATTTTCTTAAAAAAAAGTCACACTATCTCATTTGAGTAATTAACTAGATGCATACGTGTGCATTTTTGAAAATTTGAACTTACAAATTCAAACATTGTTTTATGTTAATACATGTGAAAAAAGAAAATTTTGAATCAATTAAATTGATGTATGCAAAGTTTTTGCTCAATGAGAATGTGAAAAAGTGATATTTTGTCACTTTTCTAAAAAAAATCATACTATTTTATTGGAGCAATTAACTAAATGTATATATGTGCATTTTTTGAAAATTTGAACCTACAAATTCAAGCCTTATTTTATGCTAATAGATATG